CTCCACAACTGTTTGCTAAGGTGGACAAGTTTGAAAGTCACTTCAGCTCACAAAGAGTAAATGTCTAGTCGAGAATATCACTAGGATTTATTTTTAAATCATCTCTTGCCAGTAAGGACGTGACACATGTCCTCTAACTAGTGGTTTCACCACCAAATGACACAACATGTAAACAGTTATGATTTAGACCCTCTCACCGGGTGGTTTTATTGCCAAATGACACTACTAAATTACGGTCATGGTTAGAGCCCGTATATTCCCTAATGTCTTTAAACCCTTGAGTAATGAATCAATAGGATATAACCGATAGGGCACAAAGCCCTTTGTTAGCTAAGATGGACTCAAATATGTCCCCTCAGACACATTTATCCCAAGTTTGCAAGGTATCCTTGGACAAAGTGACCCATGGCTGCCGATAAGGATCATTCGGTTAGGTTGGGTTGACTATCTCCTCTGACTAAGTACACTAGGGATCATGATGACCTGGGACGATGGAATCATGGGATCTTGATCGGGTTCATCATTATTCTCCCACCATCTGCTTTAAGTGCACGGTGATAAAATTTCAAATTTCAATATTTAATTATGTTGGTATTATACATTGGATACTATGTATATGTTCAACTACTAGCCTTAATCGAAAGTTCTCTCTCGCCATCGGGAGGGGTAATTAACTATAGGGCTTGCGCCAATGGAGACCATAACTCATATCATGAAGTCTTCGCAACATGATGGCGAAATTTCTGGGTAGTGTCTTATTTAAAACCAATATGCCTTCTGAAAATTTACATCGGAATTTAAACTCATTAAAACTCTCCTCAACATAAAAAAGAAAGGTGTTGTGGAGAGGCCGGGGCGCAAATTTTCAGAGCCCACAACATGCCTCATACTCATATTTATAATCATGATTCTCATTGAATTTATTATTTAAAAAAAGTCAGATGATTGTCTTGCAATTTCTCTCGCCCACCCCCTAATCCACATATCTCACAAAAGAATCCATGGGAGTCTCATACGAGTTAGGGCCAAATGAGGTTGGGACTAAATACTTAGATCTTGGGGAAAGGGAAATTTGGAACTGAATCAAGTAAACCCACTACAAGGAGTCCAGAGAAATATAGAAATATAAAAAAATTAAAGAATACACGATGATTAGATGGCAAATAAACATAAAAAATAGTAACCCATGAAGTAAACTCATTGCATAGTTTGTTCACTAAATCTACGCATCTTGTATTTTTGATGACTATATGCTTCTAGGTTTTCATCAATATTAGTATGCTTGGAGAAATGGGACTCCAACAAATTGTTCAATTGATATTCATCAATTACATATGACTTAAGTAAACTACGAGTTATCATTTGTATGCTTAGCACACCAATGCACAAGGTATCTTTCGATTAAGTGATTGTTCATCTCAATGCACTCATTGTCTTTCTAACGACTATATGCTTTGAGAATTCCATCAATTTTGTCCTATTTGGAAATTTTTTCCTCTAACAGGTTGTTCAATTGAGATTAATCAATCAGATATAGATTAAGTAGATATAGGCACAATTATTATTCTTCATGTATATTAAACTCTGAGGAATCACATGCTATCCTATTGCAGCAGTGTCCAAGGCATCTTTGTTATTCACCATAACAGAGACAATTTCATCATTTAATATCACTTATATCTTAATACTTATATGAATGTCTTGAAAACTGTTTCATGTCAATTCGGGAGAAAGATGTGAAAATTGAGAAGAATCTAAGGTAGTAGAATTAGATGTATGAGATGATGATTTATAATATAAGTCCAATCCTATACATGAAAGACTCTACTAATACATGTTTTCTTTGGGATTTTTAACTTTTTTAGCATTTGTGCCAATATTTTGCATGACTTTGTGTTGTCTCAATTTTCTTACAATTAATTTATTGAGTGTTCATGTTTGAAATCTTTCATGACTTTGATGAACTATTATCTTATTATCTTATCTATCTTGAATTCTATATATCTTATGTTCATATCTTCGACATGCTTTAATTGCCATAGTAAAAGTAAGTTTTCTACCAATATTCTTATGTCAATCATACATATATGATATGAATATTTGATGGTGTAATCTGATATCATGCATGTAATGATAAATGCTAAAGTATTAAATTCTTTCAAATGTATCTACTATAATTAATACTAAGAGGAGGAGATGATGAAGACAACTTAAAATTAATATTTCTTAATGTTGATGAAATAATCCATATAAGTATGATGTCATATGGGCACTCAGTATATTTTAATGAAAAATAAGACAATTTTTAAATTTTAGTTGTGATAAATTACGCACTTCCTAAATTCGAATTTGCCCATACATGGTTCTCGTGTGTTGGTGTGTCTTTGATGAATTTAAAAAAAAAGATGCTAATTATTTTTTAAACACAAGCGCAGTAGTCCTAACAAAATGATTATAATGTATCTCAACCTCTAAAGCTCCATACAAGATCTCTTTTCAATTTTTTGGAGAGTTGTAACACTTAATTTCTTATTTGATACCTTGTTGAAATAAACAATCATAAAAAAATAATCCACAGACAGAATATTTGGCGACAAGATTATTAAATTCATCAAATTATCCAAATACATCATTGTCACATTGTTTAAAGTTTATAAATTGATTGTACTGCTGGTCACTATGATCACTGAATAACAAATAATGTTTGTTAAGTTTATGTTTCTTATAAACTAACATTGATTTTTTCTTACTTGCAACATTACGCTGAGATTATTGAGCTTGTTCAGCTAATTTGTTTTAGCAAATTCAACCTATTTGGGAATTAGAAATACTGTTTTTCGAAATAAAATCCACAAAGTTCTCAAGATTATGTTTCCCATCGAATGTCAGAATGTAATTCTGAAACTTGTAATAATTATGTTGAATTCATTTAAATTGTATATTTTATTGTGTTTTTTAATTGACCTATATATTCTATTACATGTTTAAAGAATGCTATGACAACCGTAGGATTTTTATACCAAAATTACATTGGATTTCTTAGGATTAGGGTCTCCCAACACCAATTTATGATTGAATCCATTGAATCATGAACACGAATAAAATTAACCATTCACACACCCTTAATTTAGACAATTATTCATTCCCTTAAATGAAAACAATATGAAAAGTCCCACACATTGTAATTTAGTAATAATACAAAAATTTGTAAGCTTGAAAGCCATATGTTTTATTGAAATCACGATGCAATTGAAAATCAGATTGTACCAAAATTGACAAAACTCAATCCTATGTGCAAACCAATAACCATAAAGTTAGGAGTAGATATAGGAAAGGTAAAAGATCACCAAATAATAAAATTAAGCTTCCCGCTTGTAACTCGAGATCACTTTCCCTGTATATGTTCGTGTTCCACTTGCACTAGGAGAAGGCTATATGATATTATATCCTTTTAGAATTTATTGAATTAAAATAGACTTAGAGTTGAATGTTTTTTACTTCCCTTAGACCCCATGTTTATAATCATAAAATGTCCCTAAATTTACAATAAAAAAAAGAGATGATAAGCCGTCAACTTTATCTCGAAGTAGCCATAGGGATCTGCTGGTTATGCACTAGAAACTAGATAACTCCCCCATGGAATTATAGAAACAGGACAAACACAACTCAGTAATAGTTGTAGAATGCGAGTCATCCCTGCAAGGAGCTGCAAGTCACAAGCCCGTTCCTCTTCATGAACTATTTCTTTGCATGCAGCAGTCGCAAGAAGATTCCACAATGTAATCCACACGGGCCTCATATGAGCTAGGGATGAGTGACATAAGGAGCAGACCTTTGATTGCGGGTGAATGGTAATTAGTCCGATGTAGAAATCAAGGTAATCCAATATTGAGAGTAGTTTAGAGAAAACTTGAAAATTCAGCAATACATTCCATTCTCATATCATAGGAATATTTAAAAGGAAAGCTAAAACTGAGAAAAAAACTACAAAAGTGAAATCATCATTCAGCTCACTTACATTATTGATGATTATATAATTTCTGATTTGCATCATGATACTCTTGTTTTAATGATGACTTGGCCTGATTCACGGGTGTATACGAAACGTTGCCTGAATGCTATTTCTTTTTATGCTGTGATGAAATCAACTTTTGGTGCAGTATGTCAAAGGCATAAAATGTTGCTTCTTTGTAATAGCAGAATCATTTTCCTTGAAGGTTGAATGTTCACTTGAAATCTTTTATCCGTTAGCATTCCTTATGTTAAATGGAGCATTTTTGAGGGTCTGTTTGTGGCCATAGTAGCAGGAATAAATTTCAGCAGGGTTGTGATATGCTGCCAAACAGCGCGAAAAATAGTTGGGATACCTTGACATTTCCATATCTACTGTCAGCCCCAATTTAGACTTTCTTATCCACATGAAAGAGAACAGAGGCCAGACCTTTCAGCTAATTAACTTCTCCATGTAACAGATTCAACACCTTTATTTGTCCCCCTTTGGTAAAGGTTAGCTTACACCAATATCTTAGAACAGAGAGTAAATTGTGATTCTGCCAAGATTTCTGAGTTTAAGATGGGGAAAATTTTCCAGTACTATGCAGACCTTTTGCCTTGTACGTCTAGGAGGCATAAGCCTTGATATGTGGATTAAGCCGACAAACTGTAATGCAGCGTCACAAACAGCATGTTCTCAGTTAAGTTAAGAGATGCAGAATAGTATCTTGGGGCTCATGTTATTGGTGATTTTATTATCTATTTGCTGAAATGCAAAATAAAGTTCATGAATCAAACTCGTTATGGTTGGGAGAAATTTTGGTCAACTGGAATAGCTTTTGGTGATGAATGTGCAACTCTGCGGTCTTCTAATTATACATTCCTTGGAATGATTAACGCATCACTCTTTTTTCATTTAATGCTTGTGTCTTCCTGTTTATACACCAAGTACCTTACCTTATGACCATTTCCTTTTCTTTTAATACTAATAACCTAAACTTATTCAGGTCATTTATCGAAGAATCCCAGGCTGATATCAAGATATCACCTCAAGATAATAATTATGCTGGGTTCACTGATAGGCTAGTTACTGTGACTGGATCTTTGGAGGAACAAATGCGAGCAATCTATCTAATAATGTCAAAGTTAGCAGAAGATGCTCATTACCCACAATCATTGAACTCACCATTTCCATATGGAGGTACTTGTGGATAATTTAACATTAGATATACTATATGATCTATAGAATTTTCCTCATTTTAAATTAAATTTATTCCCCGATATGCATATATTTTTTAACCTTACAATGCAATTTATGATATGCTTTTCATCTAGTTATTGATTCTTAATTTTTTTATTTAATAGTTTATGCAAGACTAGGTTGAGATTGGCTCGAAAACTAGTTTTTCTCTTCAAATAATGGAAAGGATGTGTAGCAAAATATAGTTTTAGTGAGTCATCTTGATGAATCAAATTGACTGAGATAGGGAATAATTGCACTTATCATGCTCACATCCTTTTTTTTATTCTTAAGAAATCCTGCTTTCTATTTGCAGATTGGAGTCTACTTTTTATGTTTTAAAATTTTGTAATTCTGTTTTTTAACCTAGCTTTATTTCTGCTGATACTATGGAAGTTCTTATTTTATATAATTAGATATTAAAGTTGACTTATAGAAATCCAGACATTATGATGCGAATTGATATTTTGAGTTTTGATTTTACCTTAGCTGATTTTCCTTTTTAATTTTCCAATTTTTGTTCATTGAAAACATGCTTATGATGATTCCCTATGGAAAATGGATTCTGTTGTCTTTAGTTTGGTTTTCTGTTTCTAGTCACTTGTTCTATTCTTTTTAGTTTGGTTTTTTGTTTCTAGTCACTGGTTCTCTGCGTTGGTTCTTGTTGGTCAGGTTCAGTTCACTATGGTTTATTGTTGGTTCACTTTTGTTTCACCATTGTTTTTCTGTTTGCGCCTTTAGTTTGGATTTCTGCTAGATTGTTGTTTGGTTCTTAAATGGATTTGTCTGTTAACGTTCTTGAATGAGTGATGAATGTGTTTGTCAGTGATAATTGATTGATTTAGTTCTTGCAACAAAAATGATAAATAGCTGCTTACTTGCAACAACAACAACAATAAACATCAAGCCTTTATCCCATTACGTGGGGTCGGCTACATAAATCATTTGTCTCCATTATGTTCGGTTAAAAGTCAAATTCTCATTTAAATTTAATAAATTTAAATTTAATAAAGAAGTTCATTTATAATATTTTCTTATCAAGTTTTTTTAAATCTACCTTTACCTTTCTTAACATAGGACAAATCTCATACATCTACTCTCCTAACATTGTCATCAAAAGTCCGACACGTTTTATGTAACCAAATCATCTCTGACAACTCTCTCTAATCTTATTTGCTATTGAGCTATTCCAACCTTTTCATGTATATACCCATTTCGTATTCTGTATCTAAGAGTGAAGCCACTCATTCACTTGAGCATCCTCATCCCTGCAACACTTAACTTAGTTTATGCTTTTATTTTAATGACAAATATTCTATGCCATAAAACATTGTAGTCTCACCACCATCTTATAAAAATTTCTTTGAAATTTATGGGATACTTTCCTATTACACAAGTGGCCGGATGCATTCCTCCACTTCAACCATCCAACTTGAATTCTACTAATAATATCCCCATTTATTTCACCATTACTTTCCATAAAGCATTTTACCTTTCTCACCAATGATCTGGGAGAGTTGGTTACCAATGATCTTGGAGAGTTGGTTTTAGTTTGAGTTTTAAGAAGATATTCTTTTATGGATTCTTGCAATATTCCTCTTTTTATATTATAAGTAGAACCATTTGATCCAATGAGAATCATGATTTTAAATTCTGAAATTTTAGATTTAAGTTATCCTTCTCTCTCCATCATTCTGCTCTCTTTTGCTTTGCTCGACAACTTATAGACTAAAGAAAACAACTTGTTACCCTATTCTGACCTCCCTCCCCTTCTATTATGGCTATAACCGAATGCCTATAAGGCCAAGGAAATCTGCTAAGTAACCGAACTTCACTTTGGAAGCTTCCAATTGGCTAAAAATGCTGACTAGGTAGCAAATTTTGGTCATTTCAGGAGAAATCTAGTAATATTGAGATAGTGGAGGGTAAGCAATCTTATAATGGCTTGTTAATTATTCCATATCGCTCTTGTATCCAAAATCCACTAAATCAAGTAATCTTTTATGCTTATGGGGAAAATGATGAAAAGAACTGACAATGCATTGATATAAACAACTAATATTTGTGGGTTAAAAGCTGATTGGAGGTCTTGGAAGGGACGTTTCAGCAATTCGTGGCCTCCCAAAAATAAACCATGATACAAGTGGCACCAATCTTTATTGTTAAAATTTTGAAGGTTTTGAGAAGATGGAGCTTGGAGAATTTCATTTGCCAAAGTTTTAATAGGAGGCCCTACTACCATTCAAGCTTGATGCTCTTAAGTTGTCAATTGACGAGACAATCAATGCTGAAACCCAATGGTAGATTTAGCCCTCTTGATATCTATTTCTCTTTTTGCACCAAAGAGAGTAAGGAAGAGAAAGTGAGGAATTGAGATTTAGCCTTGCACGGTAGAATACCATTCCCTTGTCCCAGAAGTCAATGATTTTGATATCTTGGGTCTTATGTTTTTTTTCCTTCAAAAATTCCCTCTCACCCTAGCCACCCAATACCCTCTTTCCTTAATTTTCTCCTAGTGGGGCCCACTAATTTGGGCGACAAGAAGAAAGGGAGGCGGCGCTTGTCCGCCTCCTGTAGACCTGAGTCGGCTAGGCCGGTTCAACGCCTAACACTAATCTACCTCTCGAATAGTAGATCAATTGTCTTGCTTTATTATTGAAGGATAAATATGAAAACCAGCCCTATCTTTGTGTTCCTACGCTGTTCTTCTCTTTTATTTACTGTTTTTACTTCCATGGCGTATCAAATTATCAAGTATTCCCTTTTTTGCATTATAAATAGGATCATTTTATGCAATGAAAATCATATTTCTAATTTTTAAATTTTATGTTTGAGTTTTCCGCTTATATCTAACTTCTCTCCTCACTTTACAACACTCTTTTCTCTCTCTAGCAGTGTCAATGCCAAAGATAGCAATGGATTTCTCTTTTGAAGGTTTTAGATGACTAAAATTTATCCAAAACAATACTATTGTTGATTTAATAGCAAATCACAACCGGCTTAGCGAGAATTCCATGAATAGTGAGAGAGTAGAGCTAAGGGAATCGTTTAAGTGCTTGTTCGCAATTCTGAACTACTCTTGTATTGAGGACTTTGGGATGATTTAATTTACCCTTTTTTACTTAATTTTTTAAGTTTTAAACCAACCATCTCATTATATCTGTATAAATCCTGGATCTCTTATTTGTTTTTTTCTTAAATTATTGCTTTTTATTTACTCACTTTTTTGATTGATTTGTGAGCATGATTGATTTTGCTCTAGTAGATTGTAGCTAAATTTTTTTCCTGTGATGTGAGTCTTTGTAAATGTGGTTTCTTACGCATTCTAGTTTCTCATACTTTTTGTTTTTCATCAAAATGGATGAATACTTCCTTGAAGTGATGGCCAGTGAAAAAGAAATCTTGATTTTAAGTGCGTGTTGTGCTCTTATCCTAGATTTTGCATTAGGAAACCCAAAACTTTAAGACATCTTGAGTCAGATTTGGTAGCAGAACTTAAAGTTGCATCATCTGTCAACAACTTGATGCTGAACAACATAATAATAACCTTATGTAAGTTGAATGAAATTGGATAAGCATTGGATTGCTAATTTAGATGATTTTTATCAAAACATGATTTTTAATCCTTTTTGGTCTCGTATTTATGATTTCCTTCTATTGTTTGCTAATTTTGACTTGATGCAAAACTCGTTTAGGATGCTTTTGGCTTGTAATTTTCTATTGTCTTACTTGCAATTCTTATGAATCTGGTCTCTTTGAGCAATCTTGTGATTTAGATTTTGGTTCCTTCCCAACATGGCTTATGATTTTTACTATAGTTGGAGTCATGAATTGTGTACCGATGCTGCAGACTTTCGATGCTCTAGGTTGCTGACGTAGTTTGATATATTTATAATTATTTTGAGGGATTTTGTGATTATAAATAGAGGCACCGTGACTTGTAAAAAGAGCTACTATTGCTTAATGAAATTTTTACTTTTCTCACAAAATTTTGGACTAGTTGCATGTAATTTTTTCTAGTGTAGTGCAATTGTTGATTGCCAGTTTTTTGGGGAATGTATCTTCTTGTACTGTGGTGAAGCTTGAAATTTTTATTTGTTTTTTTTAGTCTACATATTTGTTATTGGTTTGTGAGTCTAATCATGTTTGATCAAATCTGTTGCGATTTGAATTTTTTATATGTTGGGTGTCTTGATTGAATTGCCTTTTTTCCATTTTATCTAAAAGATTTTTGTTTGGTTGATCATTAAATTATTCTCTCTTGCATATTTCTCATACATTCTGGTTTTCATCAGCAGGTATAATATTTGTTTAAATTGATGGCATTTAACTGCAAATCTTGTTTTTGTGTGATTCTGTGTTCCTCTTACATTTATATTGGGAAACTCTAGACCCTAAGTCCTGCATCATATTATTTTGGCTATTCTTCTAGATTCTCATTTCTTGAAGCTTTGGCATAATTCAATACTCTTGGAAATGAAAACATCAGTTATTGTAGAGTTAAATTTATTTTTGACGTGCTAGGTTGATTCTATGCATATTAGGGAGGTTCTTAACTGTTCACAACTGGGCACCAATATTTTCTTTGATTATTGTATTAGTTTCCTAAATTGTGAGTGCTACCCTTGTCCATTCATTGCAAATATCAATAATTTCAATCCAAAACCGCTGCTTGCAATTTGACATGGAATATTCTATTACTATTTTTCCTTTAAAACCAAACAGGTATTAAGATCTCATTATGGCCGTTTCTTGGCAGGAATCAATTTTGTCCGTTTGGTAGAAACTTTTCTGCTACTTCAAGTGGGTCTTGTGCCACCCAGTGAATGACAGTGTCAGCTAGATGTCTTCACAATTATACAGTAATAGGTGGATTTCATTCCCCATAGATTCTCCTGAGAGCACACCTATTTCCTCCAAATTGCCTTGTTGATGCGAAACCCCTTTGACCATCTTCTCCCATAGAATCACTTAATCTAAGCATCTAATAAAAAAAAGGGCCCATGTGTTTGAAGGAATCACGATTTAGATTTCTTTGGGAAGCAATATACATAGCTAATGTAAATTATTTTACCTTCTCTTTAGATATACACTTTTTTAATTACCCTCATTGAAGCAATGCCATTGGACTCCTAATTTGCAGTTGGTTAGTTGCTTCCATACAATAAGGTGAGGGCTCTGGAATTGTGATGAGGTGGTTGTTAGATGATCTGACACCTTGGGTGCTCCGAATTATGCAAACTTGGTTTGTAGCGTTAGATTAGTTCGCTGGTATGGTCATTGGCGGTGCTCTAAATTATGCAAACTTGTTTTGTAGCATTAAATTCGCTAAAATATTGGAGCAATGCCATGATTCAAGTTGTACTGTTCAAGATAGCAGCAGAGATAATTTAAGATGCTTTATTTTTTCCTTTTCTGTTATCTTTGATTGATAAGTCTAGTTAGTTTTTTCTTTTCAAATTGAAACCATGCAATTTTTGATGTTTTTGTCTCGTCTAATTATAGATATTTGTTGGAAGTTTGCTACAGAGTTTGAACAAATTTACTAGATTCACATTCTTGTGCTAGTCTTTTTGTTTTAACTTTTCAGGCGGATTGTCTGAAATTTTCTTTCTTTAAAAATGAACGTTTAGGAGTGAATTTTTCTGGCTATCCTGCTGCTAGTGTTGGCTACATGATACCTTCTGTAGCGTACAATGCAACTAATTATGGACCTAATGGCATTGGAGGAAGGCACGCAAGTTCCAAGGTTAGATACATGCAGTGCATATGTGGTTTGTACAAGACATGGATTTAAGTTGCTAATATGCTTTCTTCTATAACGATGAACTTTTATATATATATTTTTTCGTGAACGACGATGAGTTATTTAACATTTTTCCCGCTATTCCAAGTTAAACTTGTGTCATTTGGGAACTTCTTCACAATGAGTTACATTTGCATGCTTCCTATCCATCATCTTTGAGCCCTGTTGTTAAGCCGAAGGTTTAGTTAACTTAAATCCTAGATGTTTTCAAATCATGATTTAGGGCTTAAGTAGTTGATCTTCGTAATAAATTTGCCAGCTTTCCAGATTCCCTATGACTTGAACTCCATTATACAGTAGAAATTGTCTCGCAGGACTGTCTTGTAGAATTCTGAAGAAGTTTTGAAACTGATTTAGATGGTGGGGATTTATTTAGTTGTATTAAACAGTGAAATTGATGGTTAGCAAGGATGTCAAAGAATACAGTTGTTTATTTTTCTTTTTTGATTTTCGTGACTTGGCATAAGTTGTGCTTGAAACTCATTCCTTGGAAGCGAGTTGATGTCTTCGTTTTACATGAGAAGGTTAGAAGTGAAATATGCATTATTGGAACTTAACTAAGCACAGGTACATTTATGTTATCATGTCTCTGCTCATTTTTCATAGTCGTTAGGATGTGATGTTGATCATTGAAGATGTTAGATATAAAGATCTTATCTCAGGCAAAGTTTTAGGACTGAAAAGTCAGAGCTTATATATATATATATATATGTTTTTAGGTTAAGCGGTATGGATTTTATTCAGAGGAAATCAAATGCTATTTTTTATGATGTCCTTATTTGATTAATCTAATAATTGTGAAGCATAAATGATGTTTGGTATCTGGTTACATTGACGTGTTGAATTCTTTCCTTGTCATGTTTGTGATCTTTGGTGCATTTATTTTCTCATATTCACTTGATTGTTACGGGAAGTTTTATCACCATCCTAACAAAATGTACACGCCATAAAAATTGGTTTTTAGCAAGGGTATTTATGACAAGTTGACCACAAATCCGTGCTGCTTTTGCAGCCAGACCCCTAACCACAGATGGAGAGCAGCGATCTGCAGCACATCCAATTGTTGATAGTTGAAGACTTCGTTTGGGACGATTTTCTTACTACTTCTTAAAATAGCTTTTTAGTACAAAAATTAATTTTTTCTACTAGTAAGCTGCTTTAAAAAGCAAAAAGAAAGCCGTCCCAAACGAAACCAAAATCTCCCACTAAATCATACCCATCCTTCATCTCCTGTTACTAAGTGCAGCGGTGACTAGGGTTGTCCAACAAGATAGTGCAAACTTTTAACGAAGTTCACCTAGCAAACTTTTACCGAAGGTCACCTAGGCCAGTAACTCATCAATAATGAGATCCGAGGAACAGATGCTGTTGCACGGACTGGCTAACACCAACTAGCAAATTCAACTTAGTAGGTACTTAATGAGAAACTTCGCAAATAGCTCTCCAAATTGATGATCAACTTTTGGATTTGTTAATAAATTTGACTACATAGCAAGGGTTTCAAAAGGAATATCCGTAAACACTTAAATTGTGAATGCCTATGTCACCACATTCTTTCAACTAGCACTTCTCCCTGCGGGGTTAAATGAATTGATCTTAAATTAGAGATTCCAGTCCAAATAAGATACACTGGATCTTGTCTTATTCTTTGAGCACAACCTTGTGGACCTAGGAATGTGCTACAACAAGAACCTACACGCAAGCTACACACAATTGCATCTCCTCCTGCATCCAATCTCGCTGATCTAACCTCCAACCCTCTGTAGCTGACCCCTCTCAGCTTTAACTTCTTATTCCACTTACATCTGATCAGCACACAAGCCAATCAGCTGACGAGCAACATTGCAAGCCAACCCTTGCCTAATCTCCCACTCTCATAGTCATTTGCAAACCCATCCGCCCTCCTTTCTGTGTCGAACTCCATCTCTTCTCTCACAGCCATCTCTCTCTCTCTCTCTCTTTAAGTTTATAATAATATTATTAGTATTTATTATTATTATTATTATTTTGTAACAAAAAAAGAGAGAAAAAATTAAAGTTAAAAAAAAAGAAAGAAAAAAGAACTTATTTTGTGCATGATCATCATCATCATCGTCGACACATCACCTTCGATCACTCTCGTAGGTATAAACGTTCTCAAAACCCAAAAAAACAACAAAATTCCCGCTTTCAGGGGATCACCCATACATGCTCTTCGTAGCATGGTGGGAGGGAGCTCGGTGCAGTGCTTGTGGCGAGGCGGGTAGGTCTTGTAAAAGCTCTTCGTAGCGAGGTGGGGACAACTCTAAGATCCGTGTATGCGCCATCATGCTTGCGGGGAAAAACTACATTTTCAAACAGGTACCTTGAAGACCCGTACATTCTTTTCGTAGCAGTGTCTCCTAAAACCTACCATACATGCTCTTTGTAGCATTGTGAAAATGCCCATTCCCTTAAATGAGGGAGACGTTGGGAGGTTGCCGACATTTTGTGAACAAAGGACCTGGACTTAAAGTAAAAATATAGGGAACAAAACTTGAATTAATAAATATGGAACCATGCTTTAAATTAACAAACACAATCAAATTGAAAAATCAAATGCTAATTAAAGATAAGGATCATTCAAATGGATACAAATGAACAAGCGAGAGACTCGTGGCCATGCAAAGAACAGAAATATACAAATAAGTACAACAACCTGCATATAACTTTGAACAAGAGTATAATACTTGCATAAATACAAAACTTCATTTGTGCGATGAAGGAGATTTGTAATGAGCACACAACCTCGCTTGCAGATGATAATGGGAGGTAAGGTGATTCAATGAACGTTATGGTGTGTTCTTGAAGAAAACATAAAAGCTCACACACAGTCAATGCCACTTAACTGCAAATAAATACACCAAACCCCTGCAAATGATGACGATCTATATGCGAAGTGTATGAAGGATTCCTCGCCAACACAAATAAGGGAGCTACACCAAATGCGACGGGCTATCCGCTAAGAAAAGCAGCACTTTTGTGGTGAGTACAAGCACTCACAAGCAACGTCAGAAGATTTGCACTTAATGTAGCCCGCATGCGGGTAACAATAGAGGATGTGAAGTACACTGACAACTATCCTACAAACACACTCAAGAAGACTGCGACGAATGCAATAGCACGTTCGTGAGCAAAGCATGAGAGTCATGCAACAAACAAGGCGATATCCTTACACTCAACATCAAGACGGCTTGGAAAGGAATACATTAGCTTGTTTGCTGTCAATGACATCTTGTACAGCCCATTTGCGGACAACAACAATTAATATACTATGAATATGATGGATCTCCTACGAACCCTGAAAAATGATGTGCAAGGAATGTAGCAGCTTGCTATCCAACATGCATGAAGAGATTGTTGATGAATGTAACTCAACCTTGCATTCGATATCAACACACAAACAAACATGTTCGCCTGATTACAAGCGACGACGATTATTATGCAATGAATTGCTAACCAAGATGTGTTTGAAAAGTTTGAAGCAAATGCAGCTTAAATGCAATTAATATCATTTAACTACAAATAAATATATCAAACAACAAATGGTCTATAATGCACACGATGATCCATCCATAAATGGCAGCAAGAGACAGGCAATCAATATGACAATTTACTCGCGATCATGCGCAAGGAATGCAACTCAACTGGAAACACATGGAAGAAAGTTATGGTGGAAATAATCCACTTGCAATTAATATCAGTTAACTGGTAGACAAGTGAACTAATATGCTTGTGAATAATGATTGCAAACAAGCAACGAGTGTAACAACCTCCTTATACTCAACATCTGATAGTTTGCAAATGAATACACTTGTCTACCTGCAAGCAGCGATGGTAAATACGTTGCAAGCATGACAAATCCTCTATGGACGCAATTATGCACACAATGTGTTATCCACTTGAGAAAACCAGGAGCTTGCAACAAATGCAAGTACCTGTGAGCCGTTGTAGAAAATTTGTCACATACACAACATACCGTCTACGAGCAAATACAAAAGAACTTCAATAAATGCGGACACCTAAGAGTCATTATAGGAGACTTGTCATGTATACGACATGCTATCCACTAACAAATAAAAAAAAGGCAGTAATAAATGCAAATGCCTACGATCCATAGCAGGAGATTTGTTAGTGCATGACAGTCTACCTAAAGCACCCCTCCCAGTATGCATCAAAATGCTTACCGATACATTCCTAGCATGCTTATATTTGCAATATGCATGGGCATAATGCAAATACATCATCTGATATACAAAATGCACCACGCTCTGGAAACACATTGCATTAACATGCAAAATGCATCATGCATATATACATTACAACATACAAAATGCATTATGGAAGTACATTGCATAACGTGTAGAATGTACAGTGCAGCAGCGCGCTAGGGTGATATGCAAATATATCATGCACTATACAAAAGCATTGTATCATCATGCAAACATTTTATGCATGCAAATCATCTACTACTGCGTCAAGCTAACATGCAACATGTCAAATACAAGCAATATGCAAATACATGTATTAACATACACATATACATGTTCATATACAAATATACGTGTGAGTATGATAACAAGTATATGAAAGTATAATTGTGTGTGAATATACAAATGTGTCATATACACATATTGCACTACATACATATAACTGTCTTACAAACACATCTTACAAAATGCGTACAAAAGTATATACTCATATGGACCCCAACTAACGTGATGTATGCACATACGTGACTCATCAGGATGCTTTGCAGGTTAAGAAATGAATTTAAGATTAGGCTCGATCTTTCTATATAAATAGATAGGAGTCAACACGGTTTGAACTATCAAATAAATATACGATCGTGACATCAACTGGGATATTTGTTTTATACGTTCATATTAGACATTCAAAGTCTATAACAAAGAAAATTCACTAATAAAAGCATAAAGCCAATGAACTCCATCCTCTATCGATAAGTTGACAGAGTTATCAAGGTTCAACCAATAAAATAAAATTGCCGATAAATACCTTGATGACTGTCGTGTTAACAAAAAATCTCAACAGGAGGGGACCCCAAACATTTAAAATGCCTCCAAATTCCCATAAAATACATTTAATTAACTTCAATGTATTTATGAACGATGTCAATATTTAAAATTGAAATAAAAACATCAAAATGTTTAAAACAAAATTCATGCACCCTTCGCAATTGTCCATCGAGTTGAACAGGTTTGAAAATACACTTCAACTCACAAAGAGCAAATGTTTGGTCAAGGATATCACCAGGATTCATTCTCAATTCGTCTCTTGCCAGCAAAGACGTGGCACATGTTATCTAACCGGTGGTTTCGTCGCCAAATGACACCACATGTAAACAACTATGACCAGGACTCACTGATTAGGTGATTTTGATGTCAAATGACATCATTAAATTATGGTTATAGTTAGAGCCCGTATAATTCCCAATGACATCAAATCCTTGAGATATGAATCAATAGGATATGACCGATAGGGCACAAAGCATTCTGTTAGATAAGGTGGATTCAAATTTGACCCCTTAGACAAATATTCACCCTAGATCCACAAGATACCCTTGGACGAAGCAACCCATGGCTGTTGAGAAGGATCCTTCTGATCGAATACCTCCTCTCACTAAGTAGACCAGGAATCATGATGGCTCGGGACCACGAAATCATGTGTTCTTGATCGGTTCTATCATCACTCCCCCCACCATCCGCTTTAAATACGTGGCGGCAAATTTCTAATTTTAAATATTAAAATTTAAATGCTAAAACGTGTTACTACCATATGATAGATACTATGTATCTGTTTGACAACTAGCCTTAATCGAAAGTTCTCTCTTGTTACCGGGAGAGGTATTTAACTATAGGGGCTTGCACTTATAGGAAACTTGAACTCAGATCAAGAAGTTCTCGCAAAATGAGTGCTAAATATCTAGGTAATATCTTATTCAAAACCCAATTCGCCTTTTGAAAGATTGCCTCAGAACTTAATTGTTGAAACTCTCCTCGACGTCCTGAAAAAGAAAAAGGAGCCACGGAGAGGCCGGGGTGTGAATTTTTGGATCCCACAAATGCATGATGGAATATGGCTGAATATATAAGGGGAAATACTAATGATGGTCTTGTGAAATAATATCCTTTTTACTTAACAAAAAACTGTGATGGGGGTTGGCTGATAATCCTTCTCATTTTCATGTAGCTTATGGTTTCCTTTGTCCTTTTTCCTCCATTTAAATGAACTTGACCTCTCAACGAAGCTAAAAGATTAGGTTGTTTGTACTAAAAAGCAATGTTCCCTTTATTGCTCTTGACCCAATCACCTAAGCTCAGGCTGGGGTCCTACAATAACCAATCTTCTATTGCAATTCTATCAAAGCAACATCTTTTTTTGGTGAATGACTCTGATAATCCTTCTCATTTTCATGGAGTTTGTGATTCGTGCAGCCCTTAGACTGTAAAGGCTTTTGTTTGAGTAGATCTAAAATTGAATATATGGAGTGTAATTTTAGTAATATATGTAGTGAAGGGATTGTGATTTTGGGCGATCAAGTAATTAATAAGAGCACACATTTTAGATATCTTTGGTCTATTTTTCAAAGTGACGGTGAAATAAATGAGGATATGATTAGTAGAATTCAAGTTAGATGGTTGAAGTGGAGGAATGCATCGAGCTTATTATGTGATAGAAAATTCTATAAGATGATAGTGAGACTTGCAATGCTTTATGGTGCAGAATGTTGGCCATTAAAAGAGAAGCATAATATTAAGTTAAGTGTTGTAGAGATGAGGATGATTAGGTGGATGAGTGGCTTTACTCTTAAAGGAAGGATACAAAATGAGCATATACGTGAAAAGGTTGGAGAAGCTTCAGTCGAAGATAAGATTAGAGAGAGTCGCCTTAGATAGTTTGGTCACTTAAAATGACGGCCTTCCGATGACCCTGTTAGGAATGTAGATGTATTAGATTTGACTTATATTAAAAAAGGTAGAGGTAGACCTAAAAAATCTTGGTTAGAAATATTAGATGGCATTCTTTATTAGATTTAGATGAAAATTTGACCCTTAACAGGACATAATTGAGAAAAAGGATTTATGTAGCCGACCCCATATAGTGGTATAAAGGCTTGTTGTTGTTGTGTGGTACTCACAATTAAGTATGATATCAGGCCCATAATCCCACTCACTATGGTTGATTAACATTTTTGGATGTAAGGATGGAGCTATAGTGAGGGTATTGGGGACACAAGCCCCCACTGACCTAGCAATTGAATTATTTTTACAAACTACAGATAGAACTGTTTTGCAAAGTTTACATATATAAAAAGAACCTAATTCTTTAGTTATAGTCCCCCGATTGAATCCAAAAGAACTATCCGACACTTGCCTCTATCTCCCTCACCAGCAGCAATCCCCTTGATGGATTGCCGGCATGAAATTGATGTGTCGCCTGTGAGTCCTTTCCGGTTTGAAGTTGAAGAAGCATGCGAAAGGGGGTGAAAGATTAGTACCTTTGTGGCGAGTTCCGATCATGACTTGCAATCTTATAGGAACGATGTTGTCGAAGTGGTCAAAACATCTTTCTTTAGCGACTCTTTCAAACTCTACACCGAAGCACGTGAAGCCAAGTGGCAACGAAGACATGGGGATGAGGAAAAGCAAACCATAGACTGAAGGGAAGATGAATTATAGAAATAGACAGGCAATGGTAGAGAAGAATATCGTTGACACCTTTATAGAGTCCATTTTGGCTCCTATCAGCTTTTGTTATGTTTCTCATCTTTAGTATTTCATTATTTTAATGTGTAATTAATTATGGTATTAATATATAAAAAGTATAATTATTGAATTTAATCAAAATTAATGTAAAATTTGATTAGGAAAAACATAGACAAAAACAAAAGAGAAGAGAAATTATAGAGTAGGCATGGAAGGATATGAAAGAAATATAGAGGATTAATAAATATATAATAAGTGTAATTTAATTAATGTACTTAAGATTAATGAAAATTTTAAATTATAATTTATATTTATTAATTTAATACTTAATTAATCAATAATTAGTTGAGATATTAATAAATACTGAGTATGATGAGATATTCATTGTTGTTATGTAATATATCTTAATTTTATTATCAATAATAAAAAAAAATTATTTTAGCTAACTACTTTAAATCCTGAAATAAGTATCCAAATAATTCATTAAGATTTAATCGGATTTAACCTCTATAATGCCACAGTTTTTAGGATTTAACACAATTGGGATTTAGTAAATTCGGATTTATAGGATTTACTAAATCCTACTCAAGTTAAATCTTATCTAAATCCAAGTTGCCCCTTAGTGTTAAAATAGTAGATTGATTTTATTTTATTTTATTTTTTGAAATTGTGCTCTGAGTTTTGAAGAACATTCATCTTCATTTGAAGATAAATGATATAAAATAATTTTTTTTTATAATGAGATAAGAACTGAGTTGTTTATGTGTGAGGTATATTTGAATTCATGTGATTCATTTTCTTCTTTTGGAAAATAAAGATTATAATTTGTGCTCCACAAGAAAAAAAATTATGCTCCGTGGCTATTTGAATTCAATCGATCCTTGTAAAATATTTCATTTATTTTATTATCAACTGGACGTACTAGTGGTATTCTTGTCTTTCTAGTTATAAGAGCTTTAGTCATTACGTTTGTTTAATAAGACATTGTAATAATTTATTGTTTTATTTTTTCATTGACATCTTGATAAGCTTCTCCTACAGCTATTTTTGTTGTCTTCTTCATATTAACATTAGATAAATCATCAAAATCAATTATGACATATATTTTTTTAAGAAAAGACCTGTGACATGCTATGCTGTTACCCTGATCAATTCGGATGTTAATATCAGTTTATTGAGACTTAAATTATATTTTTAATTAAGTTACCCTTTGTGATTCTTTTTAACTTTACCTACAGGGTGCAACTTCGGCCAGGTCACCTGCAGGGCCCACTGATGCTCAAGGCAGTCCAGTGACTTTCGGCGTTGCAGATGAACATATTGGAGCCGTAGTTGGTCGTGGGGGCAGAAACATTATGGAAATTACTCAGGTTTGGAATATAGTTATTAGTTGCCCTTAGATGATGAAAGGCTTAGACTCACTTAAGCAGGCTAGGCATTTTTCTGGAATAAAAAATCTTTAAATATTCTAGTTGTTTTACAATATAGAGTTCTTCCTCAAGGAGTATGCATTGTTTGAGTTGATTCTCTGTTTATTCTTTCCTTGTAGTGGATATTTTGTTGAACAAGATAGTTAAAATTCTTGTAATCCTTCTGTTGAAAAATGCTTTATTAAATATAATCTGCCAGAGTACACAATAAGGGCCGAATGTAAATGACACATTAAAGTAATAGAATGTATATCCTTTATTAATCACATGAAATTCCTTAAAATGTTCTCTTGATCAAAGCAGGGATACAGCAGGAAGCTTGTGCCTCTTTCTAAATTTCTAATTTCCTTATATATGATAGATATATATTAATAAATTTTTGTTTTTTGATATTTTTAGTGGTAAAAAACAATTTATATTCATTCCAAATAATAAACTTAATTTATATGTCCTGATTAATGAATCTTTTTGGGCTCCTCCACTGCTCTCAATGGGATGTATTTAGCTGATTGCTTTCGAGGATCATAACAGAGGGATTTTAGAGGTTTCTTTGAATAACCATGAATTTAAGTTCTCACTGTTAATGTGAAAACTGATGTTTATGTTTATTGTTCACTTACATTGCAAATGGGTGTTATTTCTTTTGTACTTGCTTAACAGCTGTAAGAAATATCAATAATCTTTCATTGATGAATTCCTTTGTTATCTTCTACATTTCCTTAAAAGTCTTAGTTGCAGGAAATTATTTGGATGATACTAAACGGTTTGAATCTTAAATAAGCATCGCTGAACTGCCTTTTTCTGCAGATTAGTGGTGCCAAGATCAAAATTTCAGATAGAGGAGATTTCATGTCAGGCACTTCTGATAGGTATAACACTTTTTTTGGACGAGATCGGGTTTGCGGCCGAGTGGTCGATGGAAGAAATTCCTCCCATCTCATTCGGGCTTGAATCTCCTAAACGTCCCCCAAAGGAAAAAAAAAAAGTTTTTCTGGATGCTAAATTTCAGCAGAGCATTCATTTACTATAAACTTCTGATAGTTTCTCTTATGCCTATATCCTTACAGGAAAGTAACGATTACGGGAGCTCCTGAAGCAATTCGTACAGCTCAGGCTTTGATAATGCAGAGGGTTTCTGCTAATACTGAGAGGTGATATTTACGGTTTGATTCCCATTCCACTAAGCTTCTGCCCTCATGGGAGATGCATCTTGCGCCAATTAACATTAATTCAGTACCAGCTTTTGGGAAGTTTCTCACGCTTGATTTAATGAGATTTTGAGGAAATTTCTGTCAGATGAGAAAAAGACTAGCACATTGGGTGGAAATATATTGCTGAGTTTGTCCTTTTGTAGTAATTTTGTTTTTTGATCAGTGAGTTAGCAAGGCTTTTCGTACCGTTGGATTAATACGAATTTCAAGTTCTTAAATTCAAATTTGTGATCCTCTTCACATTTCGTAGTTGAATTTGACCTTTTTAGTTGGCCTATTCTCCTCTTAGAAGTCTAGGGTTTAGAGATTTAATTTGTGTGGGCGACTCTTAGGTTTCGTTTATGATTGTTTTATTATTGCTTCTTAAAGCTGCTTTCTAGTATAAAAATTTTATTTTTAGTACTAGAAAGCTGTTTTAAGAAACAGTAAAAAAGTCGTCCCAAACAAAATTTTAGTCAGCTGACATCAATAAAAAGTTTGAAGATCTACATGGTAAGGCAAAAAGATGTGGGAAGGATCAACAATCTTTCTGAAACCAGATATTTATCGAATACATACCATTGTATTTCTATCCACTTACCTATCTCATACTTGCAGGAGATCATTATGTCTAAATATTATCAAAATATATGCATGATAGTGTATTTTATCTAAGTATTTTTTTTTCAAATGAAAGTTGAATATTAGAATATTATATAAATAAATATAAAAATTTAGATATTGGACAAGCAAGTACACAAATTCAATAGTGTATATGGAAATCCACCTCACATTTTCATAATGTTCCCAATGTTTCCGTCAGATCTAGACTTTAAAAATGAAGATGCTATTTAAGTACTCGGTTAGATTTTAATATTTCTTCAAGATCTTCGCTATTAAGTTTTTTTATATGTCCTCTGCAGTAACATAGAATGAAATCAGTGTAATGTTTATTTAGCTGTTAAGTTGATATCATACACTGGCAGAGCTGAAATGGGAAACAAAAATTATATTAAAGAAAAGCTGTATGTTTCACATCGGTTCACTGTGACAAAGAGGAAGAACTCAGTTCTGGGGATGCTTGTTTTATTGTGCTATGTTTTGTTTTTTGATTAGGCAATTAATTTTGATTTGTTGGTTAAGAATTTTGATTATCAATTAATAGAATTTGGATTCGAAATTTATGTATGTGATGTGAATTAGCTTGTCTTAATTAGCTCAAAAGTAAAAAACAAAAAAGCATTGATTAAGATTTGTTGTTATTATTATTATTTTATATTAGATGAGGATATTATGAATAAAATTTTGTAAGGATAAGTAAAATATTTAGATTTGCTCTAAAAATTGTTTGGTTTTTTCTTATGAACTGTACTCATTTTGCATAAATTTAAAAATTTTGAGGTCTCATGTTTCGTTTGGGATAGTTTTCTTACTACTTATTAAAGTAACTTTTTAGTAAGAAAGCCGTCCTGAATAAAGCCTCAATCTAATTCAGAATATTTTGATCCATTTTTTGTTTGGTGTGCAGTATATATAAAATTTTTAGTTTCTTAAAATTTATTGTTTGTGGGTTTATTAAAAAATTTGATACATTATCTATTCAATGTTTTGTCTCAGTATAAGATCTTCTTTGCAAGGGTAATGTATTGCAATCTAGTTGGAGTCTGTCACACCTAAGTTTTCTCATTTTAAAAGGGACAGTTTTTTATCTCTATTTTTTCATTGCTTTAAAAAAATTTATGTACTTTAAGAATTGCTTTAAAATAAGGTGAATATTTCTTTTATATTTTAAATTTGTTTAGTATGCATATATAAATATTATCACCTTCAATAAGTCATCTATAAGCCTGCCTTACAATTCTCTATCAAAGACCTTGGAGATCTTTCCTAGTTTTTTGGTGTTTAATTCATTCCCCCTTCAAGGTCTCTTCTTCTCTCAACACAAATATATTCAAGATCTTCCGGAAAAGACTCATATGGTGTAATAACCAAGTCAAATAAATTTTTTTAGGAATCATTATAAGTCTAAATTATAAACTGTCTTTGTCATATAATAGATGTTATAATAATTTAATCATACTATTTTTTTCATAATTTTTGGGCATTAGGAAAATTCCTATGAAATTCACACCTATCAGTACAAGTGGGGGTTTAGGGACCGTCAGGTGTCAATTTTACAAATTGGTTTTACAAAAAAATTTAAATAAAATGTGCTATTTTATGGATATTTTTTTTTATAATTTTTGAAGTTCAAAAAGAATTATATTATTCTTGAGTATTGTATATGATTTATTTTGGGTCATTGAATATAGACGTGTATTGATATTTTGAGTTATAGAATTTATTTTTACTAATTATTATTGATAGATGCTAGCTGAATTAGATAGCACTGATTGTTGTATAAATTAAAAATAAAAGAATAATTATTCTAAATTAAATTTTGGGGCAAGACATATGACCATTGAAATTTGCCACTCCCATGTCTCCCAATCATAAGCCAACCATTCATGATGGCATCACCTTCACCAATGCAGCTCAATATCGCTCTATAGTTGGTGAACTTCAATATCTCTCTTTTACATGACCGGATATAGCTTTTGCGGTAAACAAACTCAAATAATGTATGCACCAACCAACCCCTATACACTGGAGTGCTACCAAACACATACTTCACAATCTTTGTGCCACAATCAATCATGGGTTATTTTTACATTGCCACACCCTATTCTCTTTACATGGCTTCTTTTATGCCGATTGAGCTAGCAACGTTGCTGACTGTGCATCCACTAGCGCTTATATTATTTTCCTTGGTCATAATGCTATCTCATAGAGTTCCAAGAAATAACACAGTTGCTCGTTCCTCCACGGATGCATAATACAATGACATTGCTTCTGTTGCAACTGAACTTGCATGCTTACAGTCCCTTCTTCATGAACTTGGCATTAAATTACCTACTATGTCTATGTTCTACTGTGACAATGTTGGTGCCACCTATTTATATGTCAATTTGGTCTCCTTTCGAACGAAATATGTAATATTGACTTTCATTTTATCTGAGAAAAAGTTCAAAATTGAGATCTCATTTCTGATGTCTCATATCCTGACCAACTTGCAGATGCACTATCTCGTCGCCTCCTTGATGAACTACATGTCAAGATTGATGTCCTCTCTCTGGATTCCATCTTGAGGGGGTATATTAGAGGAATATCATAAATTACTTTTATTATAGTTTATGATATTCCTTTTAATACTTACCATATTAAATTGTCATTCAATTTAGGTGTTAATACTTATCCAATTTAGGTTTTAATGCTCATTCAATTTAGGTGTCAATACACCTTCCTTTATTAGATAATTTTTGTATCTATAAATATTTATACGGCTCTTTAGTATAATTTGAACTTTTCCTTCTCCATTATAATGTGGTGTGGTTGTCGGCGGGTGGCTGACAATGATAGGCGGCGGTGGCCGGCCGTGGTTGGCCACGGCGAATAGTGGGGATCAAGTGAGCTTGCTTGCGGTGCAAATGGTTCTCGAGTTTAATTTAGCTCAAAAATGAATTAAAATGATTTATACAATATGTATTTTACTTTGCATTCTTTTTTTATCAATTCAAATATTAAAATTTTTAAAATTCATACATTCAAAATATTTTACACTTATTTTACTCATGACCAAACCAGCCTTAAATTTAATAGTTTGTTTTATATCTATGTGTTTTTTCAATAATTGTAGATACTCAAGCCAAATTATAAGAAAATTTAGGGCATCTCTAATCTAAACTCTCATTTTTCACTGCAAAATACAGTAAAATAAAAAAGTGCCGTGATTCATCTCCCGTGGAACACCATTTTGCCCCAAATCTTTGCTCGTTTCTTTCGCGTCGCAATGTTCACTTGCGTCATTTCTTTCTCTCCACCGAATTCTTCTGAGAAAGGCGCGAAAGAAACGAGCGAAGATTTGGGACAAAATGGCGTTCCACAGGAGATGAATCACGACACTTTTTGATTTTACAGCATTTTGTCAATATTGATGTTGCACTGTTCAACTACGATCAAATGGCGGAAGAAATGATGTTCGGTTGCGACGTTTGAGAGCTTCCATTGGGCTGTTTGCCTTACACGCAACTTTTCCAACATTGATGACGCTCCGATCCGGTTACGTGGCCCCATCTGTCGTTGCTCTTAATGCTAAATATCTCGTCGGATTCTGTCTTTTGCTTTCAGCTAGGCTGCCACAGTGCTCGGTTGCTTTCTTGTTGCCCAAGCTTCGCCGAGCTACTAAACCAACATTTTTTATCTTTAATTTCTTAGAAGAGTTGCCACTTGCAACTGACTTATAATTAAATGTATTGATTTTTTTTAATTATCATCGAAGTATTAGAATTATGTCATCATATTTGACTTTATAATTGGGTGAATTAAAAAATATTAAATGTACTTTGATTTTTGTAAATTTATTTAAAAAAAAAAAGAGTGTCAACAATTAAGTTTTAAAAATAGTTAAATTATTTGAAATTAAAGTTTTGTAATTTAAAACAATACAACTATTTTTAGAATTAATTGTTGACTCACTTTTTTTTTTAAATAAATTATTTTATATTTAAAAATATAAACTCCTCCCATTGGCCACTGCTGACTGCTCTCCCTCTTTCTCCTTCCCTTCCCGAGTTCCGTCTTGCTTCTTCTTGCGATCCACTCGGAGATAATGTGAGAAAAAAAGGGTTTCAACGCTTAATTTCGCCTCCGCCATTTGAGTCGTATCCTTACTCTCTGATTTACATCTTCATTACTCGATGATCAGTGAAGCTTCCTGCTCCGAAATCCCACTCGAGTCTCCCCCGCCGCCGGTGGAGGCATGTACTCAGCTCGCTCCGGGATTCCGCTTCCATCCGACCGACGAGGAGCTCGTCAGCTATTATCTGAAGCGCAAGGTTACTGGAAAGCCGATCCGGGTTGATGCGATATCTGAGATCGATCTCTACAGGGCTGAGCCATGGGACCTCCCGCTTCGATCCCGTATCAGAAGCCGCGACTTGGAATGGTACTTCTTTACGTCCCTTGATCGCAAGTATTCTAATCGTTTGCGTACCAACCGCGCAACTATAGATGGGTATTGGAAGACGACCGGGAAGGATCGGTCCATCCAACATCGCTCTCGGACCATTGGCATGAAGAAAACCCTTGTTTATCATTCTGGTCGGGCACCGCGTGGTCAGCGGACCAATTGGGTCATGCATGAGTATCGTTTAGAGGATGAGAATCTCACCCGCGCTGGTATTCCGCAGGTATCGATTAAGTCGCATAGATGTTGATTTTTGTTGAATCAAAAAAATTTTTTTTTTCTCTTACGCGTTGCTCAGACTTTTTTAATATATACCCTTTTTTTTGTCGGTGCTGAAATAGAGAACTGGAACCATACTTACAAATTATGGCTTTATGTCTTTGTTATGAGGAAATAGAATGCCCGTTTGCAGCATATTGAGTTTATGCTTTTGCTTTCTTTGGAAGGATGGCTACGTTGTGTGTAGGATATTCCAGAAGAGTGGGCCTGGGCCGCAGAATGGAGCCCAGTATGGTGCGCCGTTTATGGAAGAAGAATGGGAGATGGAAGAGGAAGATGCCAAACTTGTGCCCGTAAATGCGGACCGAGATGATGCAGTGGTGGATCCTGTTGGTCAGGATTTTGTCCAGTTGGGAGATTTTCTCCAGGTAATATTCTACTATTGACTAAAGTTATGAACAAAATGATTCACTGTGTATTCAATTTGTTTACATTATTTAGATGGCAAAGCGTGGAGGTGGCAGACATCGCCTTATTCCTCGGTTATTTATTTTCCTTTGTTAGTTAAAGAGGGCTTTTAGCTACAATTTGTTCAGTCTTTTCTACATTTGTTATGTCTCTGATATGCTTCAGTTCGTTTAGGAAGTTGTAGGAAGAAATTTTGCATGATCGAGTTCCCTTTTTGTTGTAGGGAAGGATCAATTTAGAGTTTAGGAAAGTAGGGGTGAAGAACTTAAGGAATGAAAAAGAAGAGAGAGGTCTTGATTAAAGGAAGAAGAGAGGGAAGAGGGCTTTGGCAAAGGAGTAGGAGAGGGGCAGAAGGATGGAGAAGGATAGGGAGAAAGCCATATGAGGTAGATGGAGCTCAAAGTATTGTATACCTCAAGTCAAATATTAGTGTCCTAATTATGAGAAAAGTCCTAAGAATCCTATTTACAAAGAGTTCTTATAATAGGGAAGTTTAAAGCCACTATAAAAGTAATAAAGTTCATCAGAACTCATACATTAAAATAGACAAATAACACTAATATGTTGTAGCCAGGTCTGGAGAAGGGCTATGTAGTAGGGGTACTATGTCTATCTGTTGGTTTTTCTCTGGATCTATCTGCTAACCTTTCATTTTGGTTGCGCAATTATATGAGCATGGCTACTTTTTCTCATGGATATGTGTTGCAGAAAAATCACCAACATGGTTGCAAACAAACAATGAACATCAAAACATAAGAACTTTAGATTCTAAAAGCTTAGAATGAATCAACCTCAAACTTGGGCCTTAAATCTTTAACTTAAGATGTTTTATCCATTTGTAAAAGAAGTTGGAGATGGAATATGTTTTAATAATCATGCTTGATGTGCCTTTGTTCAATGCAATCTTAGGCATTTCGGGAATTTTCTTATATGACTAATTGATATTTCATTGGTGGCAAGTGTTATGTTTATCTCGAGTAACATTCAAACACCATTAATGATTGATGCTTCACTCACTTTAAGGGATGGATACCATCTTATCTTCATTATGATTCTTGTTGATCATTACCATGTGTATTAGAGCATTTGATAGGTTTCCAAAGACCTTTTTTTTTGACTTATTAAAGTTTTATTAGGGGTGAATCGATCTAATTCAATGATAGAATAGCCCAATCCATGTCTGACTTGGGATTCATTGAGAAAGTGGCTGCAATAATCTCTCTGTCTTTGTTTGCTAAATTACCATGGTGGATAGTGAATGGAGACAACGAAAGTTTCGCTTTAGTCATTGTTGAGGTCATTTGAAGGTTGGGAATAGGGGTACAACCGAGTCAAGCCGGCTCGAGCTCGACTCGACAATAGGCAAGATGAGTCGAGCTTATCGAGCTTGCGAGTCGAGCTCGAACACAATTTCGAGCTCGATAGCTTATTGAGCTCGAGCTCGAACAGCCAGTTGATCGACTCGAGACTCGAGAGCTCGTCGAGCAGCTCGCTTCGCGGTGAGAAAAGTCCTAAGAATCCTATTTACAAAGAGTTCTTATAATAGGGAAGTTTAAAGCCACTATAAAAGTAATAAAGTTCATCAGAACTCATACATTAAAATAGACAAATAACACTAATATGTTGTAACCAGGTCTGGAGATGGGCTATGTAGTAGGGATACTATGTCTATCTGTTGGTTTTGCTCTTGATCTATTTGCTCACCTTTCATTTTAGTTGATGATGCCGATTGCACCTGTTTCAAAACAGCTGAAGCCAATCTGCACCTGCAAGGGAGAAAACAGAGGAACTGGAGGAATAGAAATTCCAATGGAACAGTAACAATTCTGTTTGTATATCTTTTTCTATCTGTTAAGGTACTCGGCCAGGGTATTAAAACCACACTCCTGCCTTACTACAAAAAGGACTGAACTGTAAAAGTGCGGTAAAAAGTATAATAACTAACTATGGAAGGGAAACTAGTGGAGCACATGCTCACGAACCAACTAAACAGCAATAGCACTAATAATAAAAAGGCTCAATAATACTAATACTTCCCTGGCCCCATGAGACTCATGGATGCGCCGCATCATTCGCCCCCGCTTTGAATAGAATCTGTGCTAACAGATTAAAAGGTGGTGTTGCTGTCATTAGGCGGAGTATAAGCATATATGTCAGCCACATTGAATGTGTGAGACGTGTTGAATTCTGAGGGCAGATCAACGACATAGGCATTGTCGTTAATTTTTCGACTAATGGGAAAAGGTCCCCATTTCTTCTTAGTAAGCTTGGAATAATTGCCAGGAGGGAGACGTTCACGGCGTAAACGTACCACCACCAAATCTCCAGGTTGGAAAATTTTCTCCCGACAGTGAGCATCCGCCGCTAGCTTGTATTTAGTATTTGAGTCATGAAGTTTTAGCTGGACTTCAGATAAAAGGTTTGTGAACTGATCCGCTAGAGCATTGGCAGCCTTGCTTTGGACTTTCAGTAGAATTGCAATGTCAAGGATGGTGTTTGGCATTTTAGTGTAAACAATATTGAATGGGCACATACCAGTGGACCGATTAGTCATGGAGTTGAAGGCAAATTCAGCATGACCAAGCACTTCATCCCATAATGTAGGATGTTCTTGGACCAAACAACGTAGTAGATTATCGAGAGTTCGGTTGACAATCTCCGTTTGTCCATCCGTTTGAGGATGATAGGAAGAGCTAAGTCGAATTTGAGTATTCAATCGCTTCCACAATTCCCGCCAAAAATGGCTAATGAACTTCACGTCCCGATCAGAAGTTAAACTTCTTGGTATACCATGAAGGCGAACAACTTCTTTGAAAAACAGCTTGGCCACGTTTAGAGCGTCAAACGTCTTTTTGCAGGCGACAAAGTGCGCCATCTTCGAAAATCGGTCGACCACAACCATAATTGAGTCGTTACCTCGCTTGGTTCGAGGCAATCCCAAAACAAAATCTAAACTCAAATCTTTCCAAATTGTTTATGGGACTGGCAACGGTTGGTATAACCCAGTATTTTGACCTCCACCTTTGTAGCTTTGACAGACTGCACATCTTTGGATGAATTTAGTAACGTCCTTCCTCAACTGCGGCCAAAAGAATCTCCTCTGTAAATTGGCAATGGTATTGTCACGGCCATTATGAGCGGACATACCTCCCGCATGCGCCTCCTGTATGATCCGTTGCCTCCAAGAAGAATTCGGCACACACAGCAGGTTGTTCTTGAACAGAAAACCTTGCTGCAATGAATAATCGCAGAGTTCTTGGTTATTGCATTTTGCCCATAATGTTTTAAAAAAATCATCAATAGGATACAGCTCCTGTAAGCAATCCAAGCCTGTAAATTCGGTTTGCAGTTTAGTCAGGACATTGATCCGGCGACTCAAGGCATCTGCCACCCGGTTCTGTGAACCACTCTTGTGTCTGAGAACGAATGTAAACTTCTGTAAAAAAATTATCCACCGAGCATGCATTCTATTAATATTCTTTTGGGAATTAATGTACTGCAACGCCTTGTGATCACTGCAAAGAACGAAATCTTGGTGGAGTAGATAGTGTTCCCACTGCTTTAATGCTCTAATAACGGCATAAAGTTCTTGCTCATACACTGTCCAGCGTTGTCTCGACGGGCTCAATTTCTCACTAAAAAATTCCACGGGCTTGTTGTCTTGCGAAAGTACTGCACCAATCCCAATTGTGGAAGCATCAGTGTCAACCGCGAACGGCTTCTCAAAATCCGGTAAAGACAATACAGGGGCGGTGGACAGGGCTGTCTTAATAGCTTCAAAGCTGCTCTGTTGTTCCTCAGACCAAGAGAATTTGGGTTGTTTTAGAACATCTGTAATTGGAGCCACAATCATACTGAATCCCCTGATAAATCTGCGGTAGAAATTCGCCAAGCCTAGAAAACTGCGAATGTCAAATAAAGTTCGGGGAGTGGGCCAATCCACAATAGCCTCTACTTTCTTTGGATCCACACTGACTCCTTCCGGAGAGATAATATACCCCAAAAAGGCCATCCGTGAGGTTGCAAACTCACATTTAAGCATATTCAGGAAGAGCTGATTCTTTCTCAAAATCTCAAAGATTTCGGTAAGGTGTTCAATATGCTCCACTAATGATGAACTAAATACGAGAATATCGTCGAAGTATACCACACAACAACGATTCAGGGCAGGCTTTAATATTTCATTCATCAAACGCATGAACGTGGCCGGTGCATTGCACAATCCGAAAGGCATCACTTTCCACTCGTATAATCCTTGGTGCGTTTTGAAAACAGTCTTCCACTCATCTCCCGGTCGGACTCGGATCTGGTGGTATCCGCTACGCAGATCCAATTTAGAAAACACATGTGCTCCGGCCAACTTGTCTAGCATATCCTCCATTCTTGGCATCGGAAACCTGAATTTAACAGTTATCTTGTTAATCGATCGACTGTCCATACACATCCTCCAGCTGCCGTCCTTTTTGGGTACCAATAAAGCTGGGACTGCACAAGGGCTTAAACTCGGTTGGATCAATTGTTTCTCTAACATTTCATCAACAATTTGCTGTAGAATCTTATGTTCATTGGGACTCATTTTGTAGTGGGGTAGGTTCGGTAATGACGAACCTGGCACAAAGTCTATTTGATGTTGAATTGCCCTCATAGGTGGGAGTCCGGATGGCAGTTCCGGTGGGGCAATATCAGAAAATTGCTGCAGCAGCAAATCAATAGTTTCAGGACGTTTGACTGGAGGTGAAGATTCATTCTGTTCTTTGATAACCAAGGCCATAATACAGAAGGATTCCTTCCATTCCTTCAACAAGCTTTTGCCAGAAACTGTATATAATATATTTTGAGAGCTGGAACCCTTTGCATCCTGATCAGGCGCCCAAGGTAGTAATCTTAACCGCTTGCCTTTCCACTCAAACGAATAAGTATTCGCTCGACCATCAAATATAGCTCCAACGTCATACTGCCA